TTATGCCCTATATGGTAATAGTATTATAAATGGATGTACTATTCTTTGCTGTGTTGTGTAGGTGAGCTATTGCCTCAAGTTCATAATGTTTGGTCTCCATTGACTCACAGGCTGATTGATACACACGTACTAGTACGAATGAAGGTATGTTAGTATACATTAATATTATTTAATATGTAAAGTTAAATAAATAAATAAAATAAATAAAATAAAATAAATATGTTGCAACTTGTATTGAACATATAAAAGAACACTATATCCAAGGTTACTGAGAGAATTCTCCATTTTTATTACATTTTCTGATGCATATACATGTGCTTATGTTGTGTAGAAATTTTGAGCTGAATCTTTTATCGTAGGCCATTGATGTTCTTCTTGTCATGGCTTCAACGGCTAAAGAGTTTCTACGAAAACGAGTCGTGGAACACGTCTGGCCCAAACTAGTCGTATCGCTCAAGCAGCTAAGGGGCGTGGCTTATGATACCACGCCCACAATAAGCCACACAATGGAGTACAAGCTATTAGTAAAGATATTAGAATCAGTCGGGAAGCTATGCAAAGAGGTCAGTGTTACTAAAAATAGGAATACAAGCTAAAAATAGAACCACTAGAGATTAAATGTACATGTATTGTGTATAATTATTTTGTTATTATATTTTTTTTAATTTATTTATTCTTTTTATTTTTAGTTAAATGTTTCTGTTGATCAAATTGAAGACATTGCTCAAGAAGTTATATTATTCTTATCTTCGGAGAACTCAGATCCGATACAGAAACTGGGTTTGGAGACTTGTCATACTTTATCGGATTTTGCTCCAGACCTGATGTGGCTCCTGTGCATCCAGCTGTCCCCCTCTCTCCTTCCTCCTGTTCCTTCTCTTTCTTCTGTACCTTCAAATCATCGACTTTCTCTCAAGGAGATAAAAGTTACTATAAAATTAAGAGACTTTTGTTTATTATTCTTTTCTTTTTTTTAGTTGCCGCGATCAAAAGTGTCTCATTTATACATGGATAATATTTTGAAATTGGGTATTATATAAAGAAAATTAAAAAAAAAGAGTTTAGGCTCATTAAGTTATTCATAGTCAATTAACTTAATTAAATCTCCGTGCACTATTCGTTTTGCGTCTGTAAACCCTGCTAACTCAGTGATTCTGTTTGTGTAAGATTTTTGATGGCTGGTAACATATTAAACTTAGAAAAATCTGGTAAGTAAAACAGAGGCTAGACTTCAAAAAGACTTCCTGCTCTTCTTTCAGATCCTTTTAAAGCTGCTAGCACAGCGAGTGCTAGTGGGGGAGGAGCGGGCGATGGGAACTTTGTTCACGTGAGAATACAGCAAAGAAATGGGCGAAAGACCCTCACGACTGTACAAGGAATATCTCAGGATTACGACTTAAAGAAAATAGCCAAAGTTTGCAAGAAGGCAAGTGTTGTTTCTTCATATTAATTTTTAACCCTTCATGTTAAAGCCACGCCCACTTGCTATTGTTGTTTTTTTGCAGGAATTCGCTTGTAATGGGACAGTGGTAGATCATCCGGAGTATGGCGAAGTAATTCAGCTTCAGGGGGACCAGCGAAATAATATTTGTGAATTCCTGGTGAAGGTCGGTCTCGTAAGCAAGGCTAACTTGAAGCTACACGGTTTCTGATATTTTCGCAATCTACCAATCAGCAGATACACACACACACTCAATTTGATGTAAATTATTATTATTGTTATTATTATTATTATTATTTAATATACTTTTATCATTACGCACTCTGTCATTAATTGTTGTTGTTTTAGAAAACAAACAAAGTTGATAGAAATTAGGTGCGAACAAAGAAAATTATACAAAACCTTTTCAGCCAATTTTACTGGCTATTAAACTCTGTTAGTTCCAGCTGCAACTGATCTCGTATCGTTTCTCTACGTCTCACAAGTTTCATTTTATTACCATCAACCAGTACTTCGGCTGGTCTGTTACGAGAATTATAGTTAGAGCTCATACAGTGTCCGTAGGCCCCAGCTCCATAAACTACGATCAAATCACCGTCGATGATCCTAAGTCGCCTCTTCTTACCAATAAAATCCCCCGACTCACAGACAGGACCAACGACGTCACATTCAATCTCGGTTTTATTCTCGTCGTAGTCAACTGGTTCTATTTTATGATACGCACCGTATAGCGATGGTCGTAGTAAGTCAGTCATTGATGCGTCTATGACGGCGAATGACTTGTTGCTTGTTTCTTTAATGAAGTTTACACGAGTAAGTAGCACCCCAGCTTCAGCAACGATGGAGCGGCCTGGTTGTACGATAATATCAGGAATGTCTCGCGATTTTTCTAATAATTTTGATTTTATGCGACTCAAGTACTCCGAAGGAGATGGAGGGTTTTCATCATTGCTGTATTGGACGCCAAGGCCTCCACCGATATCAATATGATTTATAGTAATTCCGAGATCCTTCAACTCTTGAACTAGGCCCATAATGCAGTCAAATGCTTCAAGTAGTGGTTCCATTGTTAAGATCTGAGACCCAATATGACATGCAATACCTATTATCTTAACGTTTGGTAGTGCAGCTGCTTTTTGATATACCAAAACGGCTTTCTTGCTTTCAATTCCAAATTTATTTTCTTTCAGCCCGGTTGATATGTAAGGGTGGGTTCGAGGGTCAATGTCTGGATTCACTCGGAGGGAAATCGGAGCGACTTTCTTCATCGATTCGGCAACTTTCTGTATAAGCTCAAGCTCTTTCTCAGACTCGACGTTAAAGCAAAAAATCTCCACCTCTAATGCACGTCTGATTTCATGTTCCTCCTTACAAACACCACAGAATACCACCTTTTGGCCTTCTCCCCCAGCTGCAAGGACCCGCTCTAACTCACCTACAGAAACTATTTCAAATCCAGACCCAAGGTCCGCTAGTAGACTGAGAATGGAGAGGTTACTGTTAGCCTTGACTGCATAGCAAACCCTTCCACCTCCTGGACACCACTCTAGAGCTTTCTTGTATTCATTGTAGCCAGTCTCACAGCCTGAACGTGAATATACATAGCAAGGAGTTCCATACTTCTCTGCTACGCTAGACAGAAGGACATCTTCTACTTTTAATTGACCTTCAAGACGTGAAAACCAGGACATGTTTTTATAATAATTTCTGTACAAAAATGGGCTGGGCTCGTTCAGAATGGTCAGTACATACAAGGTATGGTGGTTTTAATTTTAATAACAGGTTTATGACTTCCTCAGGACCAGTTCATATATAAAGGAATAAATAAGCTTATTTCATCAAAAGTAGTAGTTACATCTCCTATAAAGTTATCATTCAAAATGGCAGCAGCAGATATCCCTGCACTATTAGCTGAAGCAGATAGTCAATTGGCAATTGATGCTGGAGCAGCTACTGATAACATGGCTATAGTAGACAGTACTGCTATGGCTACATCAGATGCAATGACTACTTGGTCGGAAACAGGAATGAACCTCACTATAGGGAATACTGTCACGACTGGTATTGCAGCAGAGGCTACTGCTTCCATTGACATTGCAGCCTTAAATCCCCCTGATTTTCCAGCCCGTGCTGCTAGTGTAGTTGGAGAACCTATAGTAGTCTGGGGGATTGAGCCTATAGTTCCTGAAACAGCTGCAACAGCAATTGAAGGAGAGGTCTCTTCTGTTTTCACAACATCTAAGAATGAAATCCAGGCAGCAGAATTGCAAGCAAAATCAACCTGGACTGTTGGGTCTGCTTTTAAAATGGCAGGAAAAGTTGCTTTATACACAATTGGGGCTGCAATGGCTCTTGATTGGATTGGGAAAAAGCTTGTCAGCATAATCCAAGTGTCAATTGAAGCAGCTAATCCACCTCCTTGGGCTCAAAGCTTGACAGCAGCTCAGAAGAAAGATCTCAAGGCTGTCACTAGTGCTGTACCCCGGCTCACTATTCTGATGCAAGGCTGGCATGCACAATGGAGCACATACAGCAAAAGTTTTTCTAATTCACTGGGGAATATCACTGTTAACGTTGGAGGGAGGACGACATCAGTTCCAGTATTGTACATAATCTACTATGCATTCTCTGATATGGAAGGAGTGAGTGACATTATTATTATCATTATTATCACAAGTATACTCTTAATTATTAGAGTCGTATTTTTCATATTTTTATGCAAATTTTAGTTTCATTCAGTGCATACATGTACATATATTCTGTTCTTTAATCATTGCATCTAGAGTAATTTTATAACCTCTATTAGTGCAGCTTGAGACATAAACATAAACATACTAATTACTAACACTTGCCAGCAACCACTACAACAATTCTTTAATGTAATAGTTTTTTTAAACATAATTTCCTTGTTTTTTTACTACTTCATGTTTATCTTGGAGGAATTCGGGCTATAATTAAAAGCCTGTAAAGTCATAACATCATCAATTCATTTTATAGATCTGTGTAATTATGTAAAATTTTTGTAGGCTTTGAACAATGCAAAGAATGCAATTTCAAGTAGCACTGTCAACTTTGTTGACGTGATGCAAGCAGTTGATTACATCTTCATATTTCTTGCTGATGTCTATTCCCTGTACAACCTCAAAAAGAAATCGCAGCACCTCCAAGCTCAGGATTTCCCTGCAGCCAATGATAAAGTTGAGATTGACAAGATCATTCTTTCATTTCCCAATGGGTTGGCAAGGGTCAAGGCTGTTGGAGTTTCCTATCTTCGCTTTGTTTCCACAAATGCCATAAAAACTTTCTTTCAAGTCCAGATGATCCACAACATATTCACTGAGATACAAAACATCGTCTTGCCACAGATGAAGGCAGCAGCCAAGCACGCCTATATAGCTGCAGCTCAAGCACACATGAATAAAGAGAAATCCGCCATTCAAGCTTTGGCTTGGGTACCAGGTGCAGGAATGACTCTTGCTAGACAAAAGCTGGCCAAAGAAAGAGGGATTGCTGCTCAACTTGGAGCTCAAGCAGCTAAAACAGCTGCTCAAGCAAAGATGCACGACTTGCTCCCACTGGTTAAGGAAAGTGCTGCAGCTATCATGAAAGGTTATGCTAAAACTGATCAGCATCAACTGAAGATGATCGTGAACTTGGCCATACAAGATGCTACTGGTCAAATAAAGGCAACAGCTAAAGACATGAAGAAACCTGCTTAAGCTTCATGAACAATCCAAAATTTATAAACTGTAAATAGTTAGTAGAGAGAAATCATAAACTGACAGATGTAGTTTCTTTAATAATTATTTAGTATTGTTATGTAGTTCAAGTTTAAAAAGATGATGAGATTATTAAGTTTGGCGCCAATGTCTGCCAAATGAGTGAGCCACTCCCCCATGTTACATAGCAACAATTAATTAATTAACAATCCAACAATGGCGGATCACGATTCTCTACACATCTCTGACTTACAATCGACTGCTCTCTCGAGCCAAGGGGCTGGGGCTCCCCCTGGACAGAATACGATGGACCAAGAAATAAAAACTAACAGGAAATCAAGGAATAGAAGAAGAACAAAGAAGAGTTCGCCTCAAAATGAAGCCACAACAGTCCCTCCTCTAAGTAAGTTTTAATAGAATTTTAGTGTAAAGATTAAATAAAATTATTTAGAGTCTGCGGTCGATATTCCCCCCGACTCAAACCAGTTAAACGAGTCTTACATGAACGCTTTACGGGCCAGATTGGATCCGCTGTCACACCCACCTGCTGCCATGGAAACCGAAACACCCTCACTAAGCGAAGGGAGTGCGGGGGAAGGTTTTAAAGCATCAAAACAAAAGAAAAAGAGGAGGAAAGAGGGAGGGACGGAGAATACAAATTTATATCCTTCAGGAGAAGGAGGTAATGTTGAAAGGAGTCCTGCTGAAGATCGTACAGTGTCACCTCCTCCTCTCCCTCCCTCTCTCCCTCAGCCTCCTCCTGTTAGTGTACAATTAGAAGGAAGAGAACCAAATGGTTTGTAGCATGTACATGTACATGTATTTTTAAATTGTATTTATGATCTCTGATGATCTCTTATTGTGTTTGAATATCAATTTTTTAGTTTTGTTAAATTTTGATTTTTTCCTACTTTTTCATTATATTTACAGACCCACTTCTGCTGGTTGATGATGAAGATGTTATTGATACAGTAGGAGGAGGAGGAGAAGGAGTTCAGCAATACATTAACACACACAATAAAACTCAGTCTTCATTGCTAGTTACAAAGGAAAGCAATCACGGCAACAATCTTGTCTTCCAGCAGCAAAAAGGTTCATCTACTTTAAATAGCACCATAAATAGTCCTGATTATATTTGGCTAATGTACATGATTTCTTGAGCAAAGGGCATTATGCTTTAGTTTTTGACACAAGCAAAGCAGTCTACTTATAAAACTTACCTAAATATTGTCAAGTGCCTGCATGTATGGTTTCTGGAAGCTCACCTCTTAAATGTTTTACAATGAGATGTCTTTTCTCAACAGATACTGGTGGATTCATTCATCTTAAAGGAGGTCCTGGTTTGCAAGGAGAGGAAGGAGTTGATGGTGGAGAGATGTCAACTAGTGATTTGAGTACTCCTCATTTTGTCTTAGTAAATACTTAATGATTATAATTTTAGTATCATGTGCATGTACACGTATTTTTAGGTTGTACATTCTTTCCTTAATACAATGGTCATGATTATGCATGGATTAATAGCAGGTATAATAATAATAATAATAATAATAATAATAACAACTTTTATTTCTGCTTATTTTATTTTTCTTCACTAATTTTTGTTCATCCTACATCTAAGTGCTCTTTCTATTTTTATAATGATAATAATAATAATAATGATGATGATGATAATAATCTATATTGATTTTTAATTCTAGGATTGTCATTGTGGGACACTTCAGTCTCTTACTCTATCAATGCACAGCACAGCCAGTCAACACTTTTATTCTATTATCATCATTTTCCACTCATCCTCCATGCCATATATCTGTTTACCATTACAAGTATAATCGTGATACTGATGGATAGGTAATAATAATACAGGCTAGCTTCTTGTCATCATGGTTTTTAAAGTTGCTAAAAAAATCAGGCCAAAGTCCCTGTACTATAGTACAGGGGCGCTGGCCAAATTTTGCCAAAATGTCAAGTAGAGAATTCTCAATTTTTATAAAATTTTCTGCATTTACATGTGTAGAAAGTTTGAGCTGATTCTGATCAAAATTGAATTTATATTCTGCTGAAATTTCAATAGGTTGGATATTGCTAAGGTGACAGTTGAATGCATCAGAGGTTGCTTGCAAGGAAGCCTTCTGGCAATTGGAGCAGGTTAGAGGAATCAATCCTTTCTCTTTTAATACAACCATATTATTTCTCTTCTTTCTCCTCAAGCTTTCTTTTTCATGCTAATTGCTTTTATGGTAACAATTGTGTCTGCTTTCCTTGATAGTAGGATATCATTATTCACTGATGATCCAACTCTATGGTAATACACAAAAAAAGGATTAGAGTATAGTAACAATAATCACTCACTCTCTTTTCTTTCTCTTTTGATCTTTTGCTTGCAATTGTGACTTCTCACTGCTTCACTCTCTCTCTCCCTCCTCCTTTCTCTTAAAAGGCCTGATCTATTATCTATCAGTAACAGCACTACCCTCACTGCATTCACTGCTGGTAACAGCACACACTATTCATTAAATGCTAATGGTGTCAGTGGCTATGCAACCGGTTGGTTGATACTAAACATACTAAGGACAATATCACTCATACTTAGCTGGATAATTCTTGCATGGGTACAATCTGCTGACAGATTAAAAGGTACTAATACTTTGTACATGTATATTTTGTAACTTTAATTTGGAAGCATCTATTTGACAATAGTTATTGACAATGTGATTTTGATCGCAAATTTAAACTTCTTTTTTAATAGAATACGTCACAGCCTTGACTATCACCTCCAGTTGATGTAGAATGTAATTTTATGCCAAAGATGAAGTAACCATTATTCTAACTGTTGGTCATAATTATTTTATTATTATTATTATTATTATTATTATTATTATTATTATTATTATTATATTAATTTTTATTTAAGAGTAGACAGATTCTGTATTTCTAAAAGCTGTTACTTTATAATAAAAAGTAGGTATTCACTTTCAGAAAGAATCTTAAACGACAAATGTGTTTTTTACTTATTAACTCAGTAGTCTTAACTAGTTCTCATTTTCTTCTGTTAGCGTTGGTAGGTGGCCATTTTGAGGCGTGGCATTTAGTGAACGGGTTGCCGTTGACGGTGCGACATGCCCGCCTTTAACGAGCCTATCGCAGAGCAGGGCCAGGTGCCTTTTTAATCGCTTGCAGTCAATGGGCGGAGTCAAGTCCGGAAGAGATACAGTTTCTTCTTTTTGTGATTTGGCAAGATTAAAACGAAGGAGGTGTGTCACGCCTACATCAACAAGCTCCTCCCATCCCTAATTAATAAAAATAAAAAATAAAAAATAATAATAATAATAATAGTCTCACTTGATCAGAGGTTCCATTACACAATAGAACACTCTTCAATACATCAGTGTCATCACTGGTTATATGGGACGAGAGTGATAGCAGTAATATCACAAGATGGCTGACACAATTTAGCTCTCTCATGGACCTCTCTTCTTCAGCTTTGAGCTGTTCACACTTCTCTGTCAAAGCCATTAGCTAGAAGAAAAAAAAGAAGGGAGAGAGAGAGAGAGGGAGAGAGAGAGAGAGAGAGGGAGAGAGAGAGAGGGAGAGAGAGAGAGGGAGAGAGAGAGAGGGAGGGAGAGAGAGATTAAATACACATATTAGTATTACTGTATATTATTGATTATAGTTTTGACTTACTTGCATGAAAGTCCCATCCAGAAGGGTATCAAGGTGAGCCAGTCCTGCTGGGGTTTTATCTCTAAAACGAGCCAAGAGTCTCTTCTGTATAGCCCGAAACTGACGAGAGTGTTTCCCTAGTAGCTCCTGACACTGTTGCAAGGCCATCCTTGACTGGAGGAGAGAGAAAGAGAAAAGGAGAGTATTATTATAATTGATGATATTAAAAGATAGGTTACTCTGTGATGTTGCTCTATAGCATCAAAGTATTCCGGCAATGGAAGACCAGGAACAGAAAGACTGAAATCCTTTTTCTAAATAAATAAATAAAATAATAATAATTATAAATAAATCAAAAGTATATGTACATGTACGCGTGTACCTTTTCAAAATGTTTCTTTAATCTGTTGACTAGATCATTAGCAAAAAGATATAGAGAGGGAAACGAGTCGGACTGTAATCTATACCGACCTAATTTGAAATAAATAAATGTATAATTATTATTGTCATCATTATTTTTATGCTACATGCAAATTTAAATGTACGTAACTTTAAAAATTAAATTACAATTAACAGAACTATTATTAGTGCCAATATCTAAAAAAATTAAAGCATAATATTAATTTCTAACTTGTTGTTTTTGATGATATTATTGTCACAATGTCACCATTGAGGGTACGAAAGGCGACAGCATTGGAGGGCGGAGCTTCTCCTCCTCCTGCTTCCTTATAAGGATAAAGGAGTGACATTGAGACGCAATTGTGGGTGGAGTCCAAAGTTATCTATTGGAGTAAAAATTACAAAAATTTAAAGTTAGATAGTCTTAAGATTCAGATTCTGATAAGATTATGGCCATTTTAAAAAGTAGCCAAAATCTGAAAAGTACCCAAGGCTATAGCCCATGGTTTTTTCCAAAAAATGGCTCTGAAATCACCCCAATTTTTATTACATTTTCTGATACATATTGATGTAGTTATGCTGTGTATAAAGTTTGAGCTGATTCCGACTTTAATTTTTCGAGTTACGGCCATTTTAAGAAATCGGCCAAAATCTGAAAAATACCCAAGGCTATAGCCCATGGTTTTTTCCAAAAAATGGCTCCAAAATCACCCCCCATTTTTATTACATTTTCTGATACATATTTATGTACTTATGCTATGTAGAAAGTTTGAGTCGATTCCGACTTCAACTTTTTGAGTTACGGCCATTTTTAAAAAGTAGCCAAAATTTGAAAAATACCCAAGGCTATAGCCCATGGTTTTTTCCAAAAAATGGCTCCGAAATCACCCCCCATTTTTATTACATTTTCTGATACATATTTATGTACTTATGCTATGTAGAAAGTTTGAGTCGATTCCGACTTCAACTTTTTGAGTTACGGCCATTTTTAAAAAGTAGCCAAAATTTGAAAAATACCCAAGGCTATAGCCCATGGTTTTTTCCAAAAAATGGCTCCGAAATCACCCCCCATTTTTATTACATTTTCTGATACATATTTATGTACTTATGCTATGTAGAAAGTTTGAGTCGATTCCGACTTCAACTTTTTGAGTTACGGCCATTTTTAAAAAGTAGCCAAAATTTGAAAAATACCCAAGGCTATAGCCCATGGTTTTTTCCAAAAAATGGCTCCGAAATCACCCCCAAATTTTATTACATTTTCTGTTACATATTGATGTACTTATGCTGTGTATTATATATAAAATCTATATTACCTTATGCTGTCCATCTTGTGGTTTTGTTGGAATGCAGAGCAGTCCGAGAGGTAGAGAGAGGGTGTGGTCAATCCTATGTGTCTGATCTTGACCTTTCAAATACGTCATGATCACATGTGCTTCAGTCTGAAAGGTCAAAAGGTCACCAGAACACACAAAGGTCAAATCAACCTCCTGAATGCCTAAAAAATTTTTCTTAATTAGTTGAGAAACTACTTATTTTTACCTGATTGGCAGGTAAAATTTGAAGGATGAACTGAAAGAGGAAGAGCTAAATCAATATGGGCACTGACACTATCAACGGAAGATTTTATTTTTATCTAAAAATTCAATGACATCATAATTACATCACACAGTCTGTTACTAACTTTAGCTTCAACACAACGCCTACTGACATCATCTCCCTCGTCCGTTTCAAGTGGGCGTGGCTCCTCGTAACTAACGGCAATGACTTCAACAAGCGTCTTCTCTTGAACAAATTCTGAAACATCATCTACAAGATAGAGGGAGAGAGAGAGGCATAATAATGTTAAGTTTATTCTTAATTACTGTCTTGAAGTCCATCAATGGTTGTCTGCCAAGCTTTTAATTCTTCTTCAAGCTCCTGGAGAATAACAGAAAGAGAGAGAGAGAGAGGAACAAAATATTATACAGCAGACAACATAGTTTTATATTGGCAAATGAAACTGCCATTTTGTGTCATTCTTCACATGCTTAGTGACACATAGCTGCTATATAAATCTCCCAATAAAAAAGCACCAGCACATTGCAATATCATAATACATGTACACATGTATGTTCTTTATTTTTCTCTATTAATTCCTCTTACTTTAACAGTAGATACTGAGTGATTGGGTACAATAGATTGAGTGAAACCAGTCGGATCAGTTCCAAGGTAGCTACACTGAACGTGGCCTACTTCATCAAGGGTCACTATAAGACCATCCAGATCACTATAATAATAATAATTATAATAATTATTATTTTACTTTATAATAATAATAATGACAATAACAATAATAATGATACTATATATAATAATTAAATGTCAGCCATGCATGCAAGGTAGTGGTCAAAACTGACAATCATAGGACATTTCTTATTGTTACTGTGACATACTACAGTGAGTTATACTGTCCATTAACATATTGTGCTTGCATTGCTTGCATGTTATACAGATCACTCTAATATAAAGAGGAGACTGAGGAGTGATGGTCTAAGAATTATAAAAATGATGTATAGGTTATACACCGAGGTCGAGGTTTCTATGGGATTTATTTACCGAGGGACGCAGTCCCGAGGTAAATAAACCCATAGCAACCGAGACCGAGGTGTATAACAGACTTCTACCATGCCAAATCTGTAGCTAAGAAACTGCCCATGATTAGCAAGACTTTATAAAAGCACAAAGCCTCTTTACTTCTTTGTATCTTCTTAAAAGAAACGGGAAAATCTCTTCTTCACTCGCGCCATATGTGTACAGTAAAACACGCCCCGTACTCCATCTTGTTTTTTTAAATTTTTTATGTTCTTGTTTGTGTTGATTTTTCTAATAATATGTGTAATAATATTTGTTCAGATAGTATCCATTGCCATTCTGGTGAATAGTTAATTCTATACTGATCAATGTTTTAGTGGTGAAAGCTGCCACAATTATATCTATTGGCTGTGCTACCCATCT